TGTAAAAACAACAAAGACTGGGACTGAGCGTGTGGCCAGCAAAGCCTAAAATACAGTAGTCTTATCTGAGGTTTGTTACCCAAAGTACTGTACAGTAAGATATTTTGAGAGAAAGAAAAAAAATGAGACCACATTCACACAGCTTTTATTACAGTATATTGCTATAACTACTCTTTTCTATTATTATTGTTAATTTCTTACTGTGCCTAATTTATAAATTAAGCTTTATCACAGGTATTTATAGGAAAAAACACAGTGTCATACACATGGGTCCTGTACTATCCAGGGTTTCAGGCATCCACTCCGGGTCTAGGAAAGCATCCCCTGAGGATAAAAGGGGACTTCTATATTTGTGGTGCTGACATCTCCCTTGACAGAAAAGTTTGCTGCTCCCCGCTCTATTTCACAATGCAATTTAAAGTCTCTTACTAACACCTTGATACTTGTAAATTTACATTTAAAGCAATTTTTATTATTTTTCTCTTCACACTCCACTCCTCTGCCCAGCCTGCTTGTCTCTTTGCTTACTGGCCACTTTCTCCACATAGAAGTATTCATGCAAAAGCTTATTACAATACCCTGGGGTGGTTAAAAAAACAAAAACCCTAAAGGCTAACCATGTCCAACTTTTGCTTAATAGCAAGCACTCCAGCACAAGCATTTTTCCAACAATGAGCTTAAGTTCCATTATGGATTAGTAAATCAGGCCTACATTTACCAGAACCCATGACTTATGCCAACTTCACCTACATTAATCCAATACTGGGGGGGGGGAGGGGAGGAGACTAACAGTTCCCAGTGCTAAAGCAATTAATTTATTAAGAATAGGCTGGGCTCAGTGGCTCAGCCTGTAATCCCAGCACTTTGGGAAGCCGAGGCAAGTGGACTGTCTGAGCCCAAGGGTTCGAGACCCGCCCGGGCAACTTGGTGAGACCTCATCTCTACAATAAATAAAAAAAAACTAGCCAGGCGTGGTAGTGCACACCTGTAGTTCCGGCTTCTTGAAAGGCTGAGGCAGAAGGATCGCTGGGGCCCAGCAGGTCGAGGCTGCGGTGGCCAGGAGCATGCCAGTGCACTCCAGTCTGAGTGACAGAGTGAGACTCCAAAAAAAAAGAACAGGCCAGGTGCGGTGGCTCACATCTATAACCCCAGCACTTTGAGAGGCCGAGATGAGAAGACTGCCTGAGCCCCATGGGTTCCAGACCAACCTGGGCAACTTGCAGAGACCTCATCTCTACAATAAATCAAGGAAAAGTAGCCGGGTATGGTGGTGTGTGCCTGTAGTTCCAGCTACTTGAAAGGCTGCGGCCAAAGGATCTCCTGAGCCCAGCAGGTTGAGGCTGCAGTGACCAAGAGTGTGCCACTGCACTCCAGCCTGGGCGACAGAGTAAGACTCCAACTCAAAAAAAAAAAAAAGAATAAGCTGAAATAATACTCACCTAACTTCAAAAAAAAAAAAATGACAAAACAGGTATAAGACGATGACTTAGAACTACATTCAATAAATGTGTGGGAAATCTGTGGATTTGACAGTGAGTTCTTTACCACTTATATCATACCACATGAAGTCCAGAAGGTGTAGTGACACATTCAAGACTTTCAAAATTAAAAATAAAGTGAAAAAAGAGAACATCTTATGCTCAAAACACCGAGGGTAAAAAAGACGGTGCAATTTAACAACACTTCAGAAGTATTCATAAAATCTGGAAAGCAATGTGAACCCATCAGACCAACACATCAGAAACCACTAAGGTTTTGGTACAACTAGAAATATGTGATATGGGGTACAGACAGTACTAAAATTATCTTCCGAGGCAAGCAATACAAGAATAAAACTCCCTCTCCCTACACTAGCATGGAAAAGCTAGAAGTCTACTTTTCTTGAAACTATCAAAACCTCAAAAGCATTTTGACTCACAACTTGAGTCCTCTTTATTTTTCCCAAGTAAGCCGGGCTCGGTGACTCAGCCTGTAATCCCGCACCTTTGGGAGGCTGAGGTGAG